CGTCATCCAAGTAGCCTGTTTTTCTGGGAATCTGGCAGGATCAGGACTCTTCATTCCCCCACAGAAGAACTAGAATACTTAAAGTTGTACAAAATAAACTCATGCAAACAGAAACTAACTGACAAATATTGGTGGCAGCTCCACACTGTATCCTGTCTTAGAAATTGCAATGAATGTATTCACCACAACACCCATGTAACTGAACAACTAAGTCTTTAGATTGGCTAAGGAAGATCACCAAGAGATATCAGTGTTTCTCTCTGAAAATTATATGTGAATATTCTGGTCTTGATCCAAATTCCTGAGTAAGGCAGGCACATAAATACTCTCCTTGAGTTGCAACCTCACTTATAATGTGCAAACATGGTGCCGAGTCTGAAGTTCCTTCTGTTCCTCAGCCTGCATCTCTTGCAGGGGGTGAAAAGCTCCATGGTCCATCTGAACAACAATGGATACGAGGGAGTGGTCATTGCAATTAACCCCAGTGTGCCAGAAGATGACCGACTCATCCAAAGCATAAAGGTAAGAAGAGCTTTATTATCTTCATATTTGCATGTCAATAATTCTTTTCAGGTATATAAGCGCTCTCTCTCTCTCTCTCTCTCTCTCTCTCTCTCTCTCTCTCTCTCTCTCTCTCTCACACACACACACACACACACACACACACACACACACAATGAGACAGAGTTATACACTCCCAAAGCCACTTTGACTGTATTCATCACCTTTGCAGTATTATCTACAGCCAAGATGAGTATCTGCTTAGCTTTATGTTTTTATTGCACATTAAAACTAATATTAAAGCTCTTAAAAATAGTAACTAGTTAGGTTATACTTTAGAATAAGTGGAGAAATGTTCTCATATTTTATCTTAATGATGTTGTTTTCACAAAGTCAATACAGCAAATGTACACTTAAACCCAAGCAGCTGCTGTCTTACACATTTCTCCAGTTGGTCCCACATGCTCAACTTTGGAAAACCTGAAATCCTTCCTATCTTAACTTCATGAAAACCTTAGAAATGCTTGAAGTTGATTTGTTCCTAATTGCACTTGTATGATAAAAGCATTTGTGTAACATGTACTTTGGTATTAGGTCCTCTCAAAATCTCCAGGATGGTTAGGAACACAGGGTTCATGTCCTCTATAAATGTCATAATTGGTCTGTAGGATCAAAGCAATTAGCAAGCTGAAACAATTCAGTCTTCTTTACAATTATTATTAGCACTTGGGCAATGCTAGAATGACTAAGTTGGTTATATATACAGATGTATAAGTAGAAATGTATACATATATGCAACAATGATGGTTAAAGGTGAGGTGATGGACTTGGTGGGGAGAGTAGAGGTTATGGGAAGAGTCGGAGGAGGTGATAAAGAGGGAGTGATGTAGATTCATATTTATATATGAAGTTTCGAAAAATATATTTTATAACTTCCTCTTTTATATATACACTCTACCTGGATGATAACCACAACTAAAACAAAAACAATCTAATTAACATCACATACAAATGTTACCGCACTTAAATTCCCCATTTTGTTTAAACAACCCAAGTCTAAGAACATTGATGAGTAAACAATTTGCCTACAGAACTGTGATCCTAAGCATGTTAGTACCCTACCCAGAGACTTCACTCCCATGTCCACCCTGACCACCAACTGGAGGGGAGGGCAAGTGAAAACCAGGGTTGGCTTGGGCATATGGAAATGAGGTTATACATTAGAGGATTCAGTAAAATATATCCCATTTTTTAGTTATGCTGTGCAAGCATATTTGAGGAAGAGGAGCCCTGTGTGTTTATCCTGGTTTGGGTATAAACGTTCATGCTTTTTTTTTTTACATTGTTACCATAATGCACCTTTAATTTTGTCAGGAAATGGTATCTCAAGCCTCTACTTACCTGTTTGAAGCCAGCAAAGGAAGATTTTATTTCAGGGATGTAAGGATTTTAGTCCCGATGACCTGGAAGTCAAAACCCGAGTACCTAACGCCAAAACGGGAATCATATGACAAAGTAGGTGACATATCCAGACCCTAAACTGTTTCTTGTGCCTTTTCCAAATGGATACTTACAAGGTTTGATATTAAAATCATTAAGTTAGCAATTAGTGATATAACTCCTCTTTTGCTGTTTGTGTATGTGTGTATGCATGTGTGGACTGTGTTTGTATATGGATCCACATGTGTGTGCATGTGTGTGTGAATGTACACCTGCCTTGTGTGTGTAATGTGTGTAGCCTGTGTGTGTGGTGTGTGTGCATGTATGTGTGTAGAGTATATTCTTGTGTGTGTGTTCAAGTCTGTGTGTGTATGTAGTGTGTGTATGTAGGGTGTATTGTGTAGTGTGCATGTGCAGGTATATAGTTGTCTGTGCATGTGTGGGTATGTGGTATATGTGTGTATGGTGTGTGTGTAGTATGTATGTATGTATGTCTGTACCTGTGTATGTAGTGTGTATGCCTGTGTGGTATGTGTGTTTGTGTTTAGTGTGGGTATGTGCACAAACATCCTCATTTAGGAGTCAGAGGTCAATACTTAGTGTCTTCCTCTATTTGCTCTCGATTTTGAGACAGGGTGTGTTACTGAATCTGAGAGTCATCAATTTGGCTAGACCACCTGGAGAACAATCTCCAATAGTCTGCTTATCACTGCCAGTTCACTAGTGTGGTTCACACATGGGTCACAGTTCCCAGTTGTTATGTGGATGTTGGGACTGGAACTCCAGTCTATGTGGATAAAAAAAAAGCACTTAATCCACTCAATCCCAACTTTCGCCAGTTTAGATAAGACAGTCTTGTTTGTAAAATCTCTTGTTTCTAGCACCCTTGGGATCTGACTGGGTTTGTTCTGCATCTTAGGCAGACATCATAGTTGCTGAACATTACCTGAAATATGGAGATGATCCCTACACTCTTCAGTATGGACAGTGTGGAGACAGAGGACAGTACATACATTTTACTCCAAACTTCCTCCTGACTGATAATTTGCCTATGTATGGACCCCGAGGTAGGAATATCTATTTTATACATCTTATTTCCACTGGGGAAAAGCAAACCACAGCTCTTAGTGTGGATTTCTAAGAATTTAAGAAAAGTAAACATTAAGTAATACCTTTGTTGGAAAATATTGTAGTTACATTCCACCTACTTGTGCATGCAAACTTATAATGGATCACTTATTGTAACCAGCATACTTAAATTTGGGGGCTATTAAATAGTATAAAATTATAGAGTTTATAACAATTTCAATTTTGGAAATGGACAAAATGACTGAAAACAAAAGGAAACGGTTCAAATATTTTACCTACAGTTTTATAGATGACAATCTTCTCTCTCAGGCAGAGTCTTCGTCCATGAGTGGGCACACCTCCGATGGGGAGTATTTGATGAGTATAACACAGACCAGTCCTTCTACATGTCCAGAAAGAACACTCTTGAAGCCACAAGGTATCACAGTGTGAACTAAACTGAGTCTACACCTTATTGCCTATGGCTTCATCTCTCTGTTCTGGGCAGCACAGAGCACAGTGTTCAGGCAGCCCAACACATAGTCAGGCTGCACCATTATGTGTTACTGCATGTCTGAATACTTCTTGTGTCACCATCTTGGGATGGAGAGTCAGGTTCTGGGAACTATTGCAGTACTCACGGGAATTTTACAAACATTATCTATTGGTAGCAGATAAATGAAATAGGTAAACCCACAGACATCAACAAACTGCAACTCAAGCCTACACAGGTTATCAATATTATTTTGCACTTTTATTTTTTCACATGTATTTTCTACTACAATTTTCTGTGCAGAAAGAAGACATGTGACGTTTTCTTCTGCTCCTCGTTTACATTCTCTAATGCCCCATTTCTATCTCCATTCCATGCATTTTTTATTCTTCATGTTTCAAAACATTTTATGGTCCAACTGCTTCATTGAAACCAATTAAGTTGTTAGAGGGCCTTATGATGACTATAGTTTACTTCTAAGTTAGTGAAAAACCATATTTCTCATGAAGATAAGTGAGTAAGTTGATTTTCTTAAGAAGTGTAATTCTGGGGTAAATGTAGCCCAGAACTCTATGGATAAACTTGTAAAGTGTTTAAGCCTTCAAACTGAAAGTAACAAACACTTAAATATTTCTATTAAGTCTTGAGAAAAATAGAAGTAGATGTCAAGAGGCAATGATTGTTTGGAAAAACGTCTATAAGATGAAGTGTGTTCTAGAAGTCACCTGCCGAATCCCCTTTGTGGTATGTGGTCTGCAGAACTGCCTGGAGCCATGCACACAGGCTGAAACACACTCAATGCCCCTCCTGCTCCCACTTTCCCACTATAAAATTATCTCTAGAGCTTTCTTCTCCTCTCAGTTGAGGTTTGATGGGAAAAGCTAGGAGAACAACCCTACAGCATGTGTTGGCCTCTCTCACATGTTTATCAGCCAGCCGTGATTGTCCAAGAATTTTTCTCTCTCAATGAACTTTAAGATCCTTGAGGACTCTGTCTTCTTTTAATCTCATCATATTAAGCCTAACATAAAGTCAAAACTAAACAAAGAATTATCAAACAATAAATGCTTTGTAAACTAAGAAATAATCAGTGAGTCTCCTTATAAGCAATCACTAAAAGGACTGTATCACTGAGGTCCTATAGCATATGAGAAACTGTGAGTGCCATCATATGTCAGCGCAGCTTTAAGGCTCACCCTGAAGCTCACTCTCTTAAAAGACATTATCTGCCAGCCATCTCCATTATCCTTGGAATAAATTAACCCATGAAAGTGAATTAATACCACAAAGCTTAAAAGGGAAGACATTCTTCCTATAGATGGAAACTCTCTAGAATCTGGAAAACTTTTGTTGCAGTTTGTTTTGTTTTGTTTTCTGTACTGCTGACTCTTTCCTGCTCTGCCAGGGATAAATACCTTGGTTGTGGAGTCCAAATGGTTGAGTTCATTACTTGTACTTTTTCCTTCAATGAGGATCAAAATGTAAAGTGAAGCATACAACAAAGTCACAGCCGTGTATATCATGCCTGGAAATTAGAGAGGTCTGAGCAAAATTTTGAATCACCTCACTCCACAAAAAAAAACAAATCTTCAATAAATCTTAGTCCATTTATCTGTATTTGTCTCTTTTTTTAGTTCATTTAATTTTTACATTAGTATTGTACTATAAAAATTACTGTCTTTTTAACTCAAATGACAAAGACAATAGATTTATTGATCATATTAGCAAGTGATGGATGTTTAAGAAATATGACCTAAAAATGATACTCTTGGTGAGGAATCTGGCTCAGACTGTGAAGCACTTACATTACAAATATGAGAAACTAAGAATGATCCTCAGAGGTCACACAAACCTGCTGGCATGGTGGTGCATTTTTTTTTAATCCCAGCATTGGTGAGGGAGAGAAAGGAAGACTCCTGGGGCTTGCTGTCCAGTCAGTCCAGCCTCATTGGTGAGTTCCAGGGCAAGGAAAGCCTGCCTCAAAGGAGGTGAATGGAATTCCTGAAGATAAGTCCTCTGACCTCCACATGTCCACATCCATACACATACACAATGAACACACATGCCAAACACACACTAACATTAAAAAGCACAATACATGGTAAGGATGGGTAAAGACCTGGATCTACTCTTGTCAAAATGGAGTTCTTAGTATGTGATGACCAGTAAAAGTTGCCACTCAGAGAGATTTTTAGTGTGTTGATTTGCCTAGGTTTGACTTCCAATACTGAAAAACACAGGAAGTTTAGAGTGGGGCTGAGGAAGTAGCCACTGGCAGAGGGCTGGCCTGGTGTGCACACGCCTGCTCTCCATACCCAGAACCACCGCAATAATCTGATCTTTCTGTCATAGATGCTCCACTGGCATTACTGGGAGAAATGTGGTCCATGAGCGTCAGAGAGGCAGCACCGTGATAAGGCCATGCCGACGTGACTCAACCACAGGGCTCTATGAATCCAAATGTACATTTATCCCAGACAAATCTCAGACTGCCAGGGACTCCATAATGTTCATGCAAAATCTCAATACTGTAAGTACTTCCAATTTATTTTCTGGAAAAGAAAAAGAATCTTTGATGGGAGATTAACTATGGAAGCTGGCTTTCCACTGATGGTATGTGTAAAAACAGAGGGAAGAAAATTACTCTTGGGGTGGATTTGAGTCCATTTTCTCCAGGCCATGTCATGATGTGTCTGTGAATTGTCCTGCTCTTTTTATGAACCTGTGTTTCCTTCATATGTAGCAGGGTACCACGTGATACCACCATGGAGTATCTCTCCCTTCATTTATGTTTGTTGATCTTGTGTCAAAAGTAACAACCTGGTTTTTAATTCTTCCCTGGATATTATTCAAGTTACTCTTTTAATCTATAATGGAGCTTTGAACATTCTCAAATTTGCATTTGGATCTCACTAAAGCTTGCCAAATAATTATAAAATATTGATAATTATAAAATATGCACAGTAATGTCTCCACAGAAAAGATATAATAGCAAAATGTTGACTGAGCTACTGTTTGACCTAAAATATCTTTAAACATGTAGTCTCATGAGTGACAACAGGTGTTGGGAATCAGATGATCTCACTAGAAAACCTTTTCTTACATTTTCAGCTGTCATTGAGGGAAAATTGGTAAATCAGTGATTTATTCCTCTCGTCTATTTTTAACATTTATTTTTAATTGTGTGTCTATCTGTCTTTGTGTGTCTGTGTATCTGTGTATTTGTACATGGTGTGTATGAGTGCTGGAGCCTGCAGAGGTCAGAGTCATCCAGTTCCCTGGTGCTAGAGTTACAGAAAGTTAGCTGTGAGCCACCACAGAGGTGCTGGGAACCGAACCCAAGTCCTCTAAAAGAGCAGTATGTGCCCTTACGCTGAGCCATCCTGTCAGCCCCTTGTATTCTCTTCTTTAATTGAAAACTAAAATATACTATCTGCATTGTTATTTTTGGTATATAAGGGCTATACACACAACATTCTAACAATGCTTGACAGAAAGTGGACAAAACATTAACAGATTTTTAAAAAGAAAATTCATAATATAGTTGGAAAACATATTTTCCTGGCTGTTTCTAAGGATTATCCCATCTTTCTCTTTCATGGTTTTAATTGATTAAAAATAACTAATTTCAACAGACACATAATAAAATTTAGGGTAAGGTGCGATATCCCCATAGATGTATATAATGTATAATAAGCATCTGGAACTAACTGTCACAGTCATCACCTCAAACATTCACTTTTGTGATGCAAATATTTAAATTCCCCATGTCTCTTTATTTTGGAACTCAGAATTATGGTAACTGCAATCACCCACAGTATACACTGGCCCCCTATAGAACGCTAGAACTCAATCCTGCTCTCTAGTGGGAGTTTATACCTATTAACCCTCTCTCGTCTCCCTTTCCACTCCACTGCACAGCTGTAGGGAGCCCCTATTGAATTCTACTTCTTTAGATCAACTTTTCTTAGACTCAATGTATGAGTAAAATATTTGATTTCCAATGCCTAGCTTATTTCAGTTAGCACAATGTCCACAAGGATCTTCAATGGTGAGACATATAATAGAAACAAAAGACCTAGGCTGACATGCATGAGGAATGGGGCAGAGACAAGAAACGGGCAAGCAAAAGGCTTCATTCAAAGACAATGTGGGTGGTACGAGGAAGAGGGGCTTGGTGTGATGATCATCCACTCCCATCTGGAAATGATAGGAAGCACTGTTTGGTTTGTATTCATTTTTCATCCAATCCAATATTACCCCATTTGGGAGATTTGAAGCCAAGCATGTCAGAAACAAGGCAAGCTCTTACAATGAAAATATGAGATATTTAGATGTATCCAGCTAGTTCTCCCTCTGAGCTTACATCTGCAGACATGTAACAAAATGTCTGTTAAAAACCATTTCTGAGAGCTTATTGTAGGATGTTTCCTGTGCTAATTTATGACATGTCCTTCTTTTTCCAGGTTTTCAAAACCTGGAGGATTTTCAAAGTTTATAGTAATAAAACATACACTGGAAAAATGATTAGATGTAATTCATCACTCAGAGCAAGAACTGTTTATTTCCTAAATTTCTCCCTGCACTTTTATTAATTTTTCAGGCATACTGCTTTTACATGTCAGAATCCATCAGCACTGATAATGAGCTAGGTTGTGAGTGTCTCTCCACAAGTTTCAGGGCCCATTTGAAAATGTGGAGCATGGACAATAAGAGACAGCCATTTCTCCTGTACCATTTTCCGGGACCGTTAGGAAGTAGCCCAAACCTTTCTTCTTAAACCTAATTCAAGATGTGAGATGCTCAAAAGACTAGAAAAGAAAGCTGGAAGCTAATTCAAGGAGCTGTGTGAGCTGCCATCATGCTTCCCCTACACAATTCAACTGTGCCAAAGAACCTCCCAAAACCCCGAGCTGTCCATCAGCTTCACCCCGCCTCCTCTGGGGTCTGAGAAATGGATGTCCAAACATCTGATCGTGAAGTGATTCTTGTCAGGAGACAAATCCTGTTCAGGATGCATGAGACAGCTAACTTCATATTGGAAAAGAAGGATGTCCCTATGAGTATCATGTTTGAATTGATGTTTTTCAGGTGGTTGAATTTTGCACAGAAAAAACCCACAATACAGAAGCCCCAAACCTACAAAACAAAATGTGTAATCGCAGAAGCACATGGGACGTCATCAAGGAGTCTTCTGATTTTCAGAATGCCTCTCCCACGACAGCAAGAGAAGCACCGCCTCCACCTACGTTTTCATTGCTCAAGGCCAAGCAGCGGGTAGTCTGCTTGGTGCTGGATAAATCTGAAAGCATGAAAGAAGTAAGAGACCTTTTACTGGATTTCTTAAATTAAATAATTAAGTTATATACACAATTATAATTTGTTCATAGGTATACTTCTAACAAACTAGGATATACATGTTCAAATATATACATATATATATATGTTCAAATAAATATCTGTCCAATGATTTTATATAAATTAGTACCTAGAATAAGTTATAAAACAATTTTATCATTCAATGTATCGCTCCAATTTTATTGTTACTATAATTGCTTTTCCTCTATGAAACTGTTATATTTTAGATGTGTTGTAATCGAACTTTTATGGAATATACCATAAGCACTTCTCATAAATAATGGTTTCATGAAAACAGTTGTGTATACGGTGTGTGTGTGTGTGTGTGTGGTGTGTGTGTGTGTGTGTGAGTGTGTGTGTGTGTGTGTGTGTGTGTATGTGTGTGTGTGTGTGTTTTGCTGGTAATTTAACCCAGAGCTGTTTACATGCTAGGCAAGCATTTTGACACTAAATAACTTGGGCTTTTTGTTTCTTTGATTTTGAGACACAATCATGCTATGTAGCCATCGGTAACCTGGTGTTCACTATGTCACCGAGACTGGTCTCAATCTTGTGTTAATCAATCTGCCTCACTCTCCCAGGTGCTTGGATTGTAGGCATGTAGGCTTGTCTCTATTGCATGAATTGTAAAATATTTTAGACATAATTTCATGATCTTTATATTTTCAACCATATTCTTTCCACCACCCTGTCTTGTTCATTCTATCTCCATCTCAACAACTATCCCTACTACTTTGATGGGTGTTAGAGTAATAACTGACTGAATATAGAAAGCATAGGCGGGCATTGGTGGCGCAGGCCTTTAATCCCAGCACTCCGGAGGCAGAGGCAGGTGGAAAGCATAGGCAGTTTATCAGTGGCTACGTGTGGAGAAATATGAACCCATTCCCCAGAAGCCATTAACTACCCAGAGCTCCTCATGAGCCCTCCTCATCCATACTGAAATGCTGATGGATTGATCTTGTCAGGTAACCACAGCTGCTGAGTTGGTGAGTCAATGACCATGTCATACCCAGAAGATGGGGATTCATGCCTCCAGCACTTAGGTTATTTCCACCTCCTCCCCTGCCATGTTCCCAAGATAGAGATGTGCCATTTAGGGTTGATAGATCACTCAAAATTCATTGATTCTCAGCACTTGGACTGGTTATGAGTCTCTGAATTAACCACTTCCCATTGCAAAAAGAAGCCTCAATGAATGACCGAGAAACTAGATTCTGAATGCTGCATTAATCCATGTATATAAACATATTTAGAAGGCAAATTGTACATATGTGATAATATGTACACTTGGCAAAACTGGTAGTAGGTGCCCCCTATAGCCTATGATCACCCTAGCCTTGGGCTCATGGCCATTTTTGCAGTATGAAGCACATATTCTCTCTTGAGGACAGGGCCTCCTATCTGATCACAAAGCATTTGATTAAACCCACAAAGTCATGTGACTGTTACACCACTGGACACAGACTGTTTAGCTTGTGGGCATTGGAGTACTCAGGGGCCACCACTGAATAAGACCATGATTGACTTTTTTATTTCCAGGGACCTATATACACCTGGAAACATGAGAGCTATCCGACAGAGAAGATGCTTCTTGCCTATCTCCTCTTTAATTCTCTGTGTCCTACAAACCATGTGTGTTGCCTAGTGCTGGGGGCAGCCAAAAGCAATGACAATGACCTGTGTTGTTTGGGGAGAGGTTTAGAAACCTCCTTAGTCAGCATCTCTATACTAATGTATCCCACACTTGTCACTGGAGTGTAAAATAACCTAGGCCTTCTGGGACAGTATCCCATCAGGAGCACAGACATAAGTTTTAATGGTTTTATCATGAACAATGTTCCATAATGTACTCAAATACATCCTTATTAACAGACAGTTTGAAGATATTCATTGTGATACTTTTTTTTAAAAACATTCTAATGAGCATCATTTTATGCTCTTTATAAATCATTTCCTCAGGGAAAGCTTGCAAATAGATAACTGTTTCATAAAATGGCTTAGACTTTGAAGGCTTTTACAGTCATAACAACTGATGTTTAAACATTTCAAAGTTTTTAATAATACAAAAGAGCTAAGGATATTCAGTCCATCAATTATTACCATGATTTCTGGCCCACAAATGACTGTGTCTCTCATTAATCTGTCAAATTTAGAGAGAATCTTTTTCTTACAGGGAGACCGTCTTATTCGAATGAACCAAGCAGCAGAACTTTATTTAACTCAAATTGTTGAACAGAAATCTAGGGTTGGATTAGTCACATTTGACTCCACTGCCATAATCCAAAACTATCTAACGGAAATAACTAATAGTAATGACTATCCAAAGATCACTGCAAACCTCCCACAGCAAGCTTCGGGTGGGACTTCAATTTGCAGAGGACTTGAAGCAGGATTTCAGGTAAACATTTAAATTTAATATAATTTGCCATTTACTTGTTGCTTTCCATCCTATTCATTTAGCTTTGAACACGGGTCAGGAACTCAGGGTTGCAGCATTTAATAACATTCTGATCTGAATCAGACTAAGCATTTCTGGAAGAAAAACAGGTAGCTTCATTGACTATCAGTTACAGCCACAGCCTCTCAGTGTCCGGTTGTTCCATTGATAAAGTCTTCCATGGAGAGGCACTGGGGATTGACTGAGGTTAAACCTCCTTTGGCAAACAATCATCAAAACCTCACTGGGGAGGTAGATATGTCTCTAGGTCTCTCACTTATAGTTTCTATGCCTGGGAGACAATGCCATTGAATACACAGAAAGAAAGCAGTGACAACTTTATAGTATGGATAAAAGTCATAACACACTAATTTAAATTGGATTAAAAAATCCAGATATAGAGGTAGCTCCACATACAATATGCATTGAACATAGGCAGATATAAAACATAATGATGATTGTGAAATTAAAAATGAGGAGCTAATTGTCCATTGTACTCAGAGGTATTGCCCAGTGTACTCAGCAGTATTCCTCTAGTTTTCTTCCCCCAGTCAGCCTCCATGCTAATGTATTTGTGCTCATGTTTTTAGCCACTGAAACTGAAACCATTTTCTCCACTCATCCTCCAATTGTCAAAGTCAGCACTCCTGCCCTACGCAGACCATTGGTGCACAGTCTCTCTTAATTCCATCCTGCCTCCAATTTCTCAAAAGCCGGATTAGCTTTTGAAGCCATAGGTGTCCACTCTACTGTGAATTACCTAAAAGGTTTTGGGAATGTAACTGAATATTCAAAATTGGTTTCCTGAAAAAAGATGAGATGGGTATCAATATTGTTTACCCCATTTAAGTGTGGAAAATATGTAAGTAAGTAGATGTTTACAAAGGTTTGCTACTATGAAAATAATTTTCATGTGTATTTGGCTCTAAAATATGAGTCCTATATACTAGAAATATATTCAGATGATTGAATAAATTGCTGTATATTTTTCTTAGTAAATTTTATTATATCTTATATTTTGGTCACAAAGTTTATTGATGAACAAATGGTGGAAAACCATGTTCAACATTGTAAACAGCTTTTACATAGTGAAATCTTATCAATACTTAAGAATTATCACTTGAAAAATCATTAAAAAGTAGCTATGTGTTGACTGTACACCACATTACTCTCTGTGTTAAATGCTTTAGATGCATGATCTTATACCCTTATCATTTTAGGAGTTGGGGAATGTTACTATGACCATTCTTTACAAAAAGAAGCTGAACTTTAATGAAATCTATCTTAAGGTCGTAAGACAATTGTCAAATATAACATTCAGACCCTGATCTCTAGAGTCTATAACTTGATCATTAAGCTAACAATCTATAGAGTGTGTAATGGTGGGTGGGTGGGTGGTGTGTTTGGGCAAGTCTCAGGTAAGACTAAACATAATAATTCATGCTTAGAAAATAGATTTATTCTCAAGGTACCTAAAATCAAAGAATCTGACACATGGACTCTTAACTAATACTCTTTGTAGGAACAGTCAAGAAAATAAGAAAACAATTATAATTGTAAACTTACTAACTTCTTCCTTCATGATGAGCCAAAGTTGTTTTGTTTTGCTCTTTTTTGAAAAGTCATATAATTCTTTAGTAGTAACTAAATAAAATACATTAGAAAGTCACATAACAAATAATTCAATCTTGCTCACTCAACTTTGGTCATGATTTTGCAAATGTTATTCAGTATGAAGCCTTCTACAACTACCTGGGAGTCTCATGTCTTCATCAAGTATTCAGTGGACGATAACAACAGCTTATATTCATTAAGTAGCTACTATGTGCAAACAACTGTTATTGGTTTGTTCTTCCTCAATTGGATAGCCAAAATGTTTATATCTAGAGGATTAAAGGCTCTGAGAAATCTAGTGTTCTACTCATTTCCATGTATCAATTCAACTTAGAAAAGAATATAAAAAGTATGTGTGTTCTCAAATTTATTCAAGAGTAACAGTCAGAAATTAACACACTGCTTTTCACAGGCAATCACTTCCAGTGACCAGAGGACTTCTGGTTCTGAAATCATATTGGTAACAAATGGTGAAGATAAACAAATAAGTTCATGCTTTGAGGCAGTCAAACACAGTGGTGCCATCATCCACACCATCGCCCTGGGGCCTGATGCTGCCAGGGAACTGGAGACTCTGTCAACCATGACAGGTACAACTTCGGACATATATTCCTAAACTGGCAGCTGTTAACAATTCACCACCTTAAAGTTAATTTTTGGCTCTTCCTTGACCTTCAGTTAAGTTCTTTCTTCTTTCCCCACTTCTTCACATAATGACTCCTTAAGTTATTAGGTACCTGCTGTTCTCATCCTTTCTTTATCCATTTCTCTTCATCTCAGTAAACGCAAACTCCTGAATCCATGGTTACTCAATTGAATTGCAATATGTTTGCTCAATCCCAAAACACCACTCAATCCCACAGTAAAGACTTAGAGGTCTTACTTTTAGGTGAGGATGTGGAAACCTGGAGGCTATAAATGATTTTCTCAGGGCTACAGTTAAAACCCAGATCACTGGTTCAGGGCTGCCCATCACTCCACTTGGTTCCCACCATCTCACAAAACCTGAGTTTTGAATATTTCTGTGTTTTTCCCTTTCTATCCAGTTTTCCTGCCTGACTTACTTCAAGTATCTCCCAGTTGCTCTGTGGCATTCCTTATTTAGTTACTGTGCACACTCTGGTGTGATTCTGGCAGTCACTTGTCAAATTCTTGTCCTCTCTGATCGATTCTCTCCCAACTCTTCATACCCAAGAAGTCTCTTCTTTCACTCACACCATTTATTTTCTGCCTTTTGACTCTGTTTCACATTTTGCTTCAGTTTCATCTATTATAAACTGGAATCCTCTGATTATCTAAGTCTGTTTTGATTCAGCTAAGAAACAAGCATCTGGTTCTTAGGAGCAAACTTCAGTGTCACCTTCTGTAAACCACTGGGTACTCAGGTCAGTTTGACTACTGCACTGACATGTGACGATTAGCTACATAAAATAAAGAAACTGTCCTTATTCACACATTTCCCATTTATCTTTATCTTAACTATTTTGAAAAAGATTTTGCATAGTATAAAATGACTGTAACTTCTGAGATATGCTGAAAGTCCATGAGATTCTGAGAAACTCATCTTTTGTACAGTGTTTAGTTCATATGGGCAAGTGAGACATCTCAGTTGAATAAAGGTGTTTACCTCCAAACTCAAGTTCAACTTTTGGACCAAGATGGTGGAAGGAGAGCAGCAACTCCAACAAGCTGTCCTGTGACTTCTGTGCATGCACCCAAACACACACAATGCACACTTACACTCTTGTGCACACACACACAATAAATGTCATATTTAATAATAAAAAGGAAATGTCAAGGG